TTATTGGTGTCCCTCCATTTAACATGATTTTAACCCAAGGTAATTTAAATGATAAAAAAGAAAANATTTATAGGACTATGATACAAAATAATTATAATGATTCCAATTTGTTTGTATATTTTTTTTTATTTTTTTGCCGAGTATTTATTGGTGTCCCTCCATTTAACATGATTTTAACCCAAGGTAATTTAAATGATAAAAAAGAAGAGTTTTAAACCCAAATGTTTAAATTTTCTTGGATTAGATCATATGTAATTTTTTGTTTATGAATATTTTAATTACGATGTGGAATCGTGGATGCCTTAATTTCGGTGGTGGTTGGTCTTGAAACAACAATGGCTTTTAAAGACCGTTGATTACTCCCCCCATCGTTGAGATGGATCCAATGAAATACAATTTTTTAAATTCTTGTAACAGCTAGCCATCATTTGGTAATGGTTTTTTTAAAAAAAATAAACGAAGTCTTACCAGTAGCCACTCAGGTCTGTTTTTCCAATGTCTTCTGCATACCAATGATAATCAGTNTCATATGTAATTTTTTGTTTATGAATATTTTAATTACGATGTGGAATCGTGGATGCTTTAATTTCGGTGGTGGTTGGTCTTGAAACAACAATGACTTTTAAAGACCGTTGATTACTCCCCCCATCGTTGAGATGGATCCAATGAAATACAACTTTTTAAATTCTTGTAACAGCTAGCCATCATTTGGTAATGGTTTTTTTTTAAAAAATAAACGAAGTCTTACCAGTAGCCACTCAGGTCTGTTTTTCCAATGTCTTCTGCATACCAATGATAATCAGTGAAGAGACATATCTTTACATTAATGGGTCTCTAAATTAAGTACATATAATATTTTCTGACTTATTTTATATTCCACCACCCACAACTGCTCATCTCTCTCTTTCTCTCTCTCAACAAGAATGTCACCTGATAGTGATTTGTCTATGCATGTTTGATGTGGTTTCTAAAACTTTGCATTGAAGAAAGTGTTTTCTCCTCTTCATTGTTCAGAAACATCCATGGATCTCTCGTCTTCTTCTTTTATAGTATTGAGCATGAGAGCAGCTTGGTTTATGCTAGGCCTAGACTCTGCAGAACGATTAACACATTTTATAGCAACCCGTAGTAAGTTCAACATTCTCTCTTCACTTGTACCATCCTGAATCAGTGTTTTGTCAAAAACTTCCACTGTCCATTCTTCTCTCACCACCAAAACAACCCATTGAGCCAAGTCCACCCCATTGTTCTGGACCATCTTTCCTGTAAGTAGCTCGAGAAGAATCACTCCAAACCCAAAAATGTCTGATTTGAAGATCGTGTCTGCACTTTCTTCTGCAGCTTGAATGCTGTTGACACTGGCAGTGGCAGATACTGACCGGTCTTGATCCTCCACCACCATCAGACCATACTCACTGATGCAGGGCTCCATGCTGTTGTTTAGTAAAATGTTTGAGGATTTAAGGTTACCATGAGCAATCCTGTCTTGACGAAGCTCTTGATGCATAAAAGCTAAGGCCTCAGCTATGGTGGCTGCAATACCAAGTCTGCTGCTCCAGTCCAAGGCTTTGCTCATTTGGGTTCCTGAAATTTTTCCCAACACCTCAAGTTCTTTTCCTTACACAATGTTAGATCATAATAATAATAAATTTGAGGTTACAATTCAATTTGGTAAGATTACGATTAAATGAAATTGTTGATGATCAATTATAATATTTTAGGATTAATCTCAACTTTGTTGGAGTTGTAACTTGACTCAAATGCATTACAATTAATCCTTATTTACTTGTAAATTTTGAGATAATACTGAACTCGCTACCATAATCCTATTCTTCATCTCATATTTACTAAAACTCAGTAAATGGCATCTCTAGGCTTTGTATTTACCCTAGTTTATGAAGGAGACAAGGGTATCACTCCTCTTTTTGTCCGATAAGAGCGACTTGTATAAAATCTCCTTATTTTATTGTTACTTCTAATTTCATTGTTTCCGCCTGCAAACAACTCAAACCAAAATCCATCGTTGAAAATAGTTTTTCGATATCTTAATGAAACATTGCTCTTTCGTATCGTAATTGGACCCTTGGTATATAATTCTATTAGTATGCAATATAAAATATGAACTGCAATTAGACTAGAAGAGGTACTGGGGAATGGAATGGAATGGAAGTTACCATGGAGAAGCCTGAAGAGACTTCCATTCTGTTGATATTCATAGACCAAAAGCTTCTCTTGTCTGGAAGAATAAAAGGCCATGGCTGGCAACACATTTGGATGCTTCACTTGGTCTAACCTTCTCATCCTCTGCTTGAAATCATAGCTAGAAATAGTCCAATCCTTAATCCTTTTAACAGCCAGAGGCTTCCCTTGATCCTCACATATAACCTTATACACACTACCATGCTTTCCTCTCCCAATCAATTCCGCAGGAGCCTTGAGCAAATTCCCGAATCTCAGTCCGTTCACCTCCGGGCTTGAAAGAACCACCAACGATGATGAAACCAATCCACTGTCAGCCGAAGCATTCGAGATTTCGGATTTGCTCATACCTATTTTATCCTCATTTGTTGTGAAACTAGGATTGTCAGAACTGTCATCAAGTGCTGCTACCTTGTAAACTGCATCATTCTTCTCTTCTTTTGTCCCGTCTTTTTTGCAAAACAGCTTGAGAATGATGACAAGGAACAGAGCCAAACCTATGAGAAAATAGCCTGAGAACATTAGAATTTGATTCTTTGAGACTCCACCCTTTGGTTTATGTGTTGGGCATCTGTTTGGCAATGGATCACCACATAATTCAGGATTATCAATGTAGCTGCTTACCCAGAAACTAACTCCCCCAAGCGGAATTGGACCGCTGAAATTGTTGAAGGAGACATCAAATTCCTCAAGATTGGCAAAATCAAAGTTGGGTATAGCCCCCGAGAGGTCATTGTTTTGAGCAAGGAACACTGTCAAACCTGAAATCCGAGCCAATTCAGGCAAACTGCCTGAAAAGTTATTGTATGATATTTCAAGTCTTTTCAGATTATTCAATCTGGATAGAGAGTTGGGGAGGCTACCGGAAAATTGGTTTCTACTTATATGAAAGCGAGTGAGTTGTTTGCAATTTGCAATCTCCTCTAGGTTCTCTCCGCGAAGATTGTTGTAATTGAGACTAATGACACCAAGAGTAGCAACGAGAGATTGCACGTTGCAAAGAGTGCTTGCATCAAAGGTTCCAGAAAAATTGAAGCCATCGAGGAAGATTTTCTTTACTGAAAGATTGTGATTATCACATATGATACCCTTCCACTGATCCCTGCAAGGATCAGAGGTTGAATTCCAACCTAAAGTGGGATCAATGGAGCCATTATTGGTTGACAGTTTTGTGAAAAAATTGAGCAATGCGCGTTTAGCCTCTTCTTCATCAGATTTTGTTGCATGTAGGAGGAGAGAGACTGATATGAGAAATACCCAGAAGGGAATTTGATGCATTTTGGATGTTACAGACATTACTGCAAGGGGGTTTGCAGTTTGACTCGTCTGATTAAGTTATAGAAGTTCAATTTATGTATTTAGATTGTTGTGGAGATAGCTAAATGAAGAGGAAATTCGAATTTTCAGATGGTAGTTGCTGTCAGTTGTAATAGCAATTGGCGTATATTACAATGAAACTTTGTATTCACAAGCCTTTGTTTGCCACGATAGAATCGAGAAATAAGCGATCTTAGATCAAATTAATAATCAAATAATAGGCGCTGGCGACACTAGGAAGGGTTGAAACGGGGTTGTCATGTCCTCCTCAATGGGATTATTCAGGCATCTAGGACTACGTCATGCAGATGATGCTGTTTCTGTCTGACAATAACTATTAACGAAGTTCACCATTTAAGATTCTGCAGAGTGTATGAGTTGGAATACTCACTGATGATAGGGTTGGAGCGAATCGTATCTAATATAGAGATTAAATTTCAGACAAAAAAAATAAGAAAAAGATACCATCAAACCTCTCTTTGGCTTTATTATTTATCATGGATGCCAACTGTTCGACTAGAATTTACAAAGCTTAGATGCCAACTGCTAAACCTCCCACTTTCATTCGTCCCTTTCTGTGTCCTGCTGCAACTGTTCAAGTGACAAAGAATTCACCCTTCATCTTCAATGGCTTTCAAAGCTTGCTAAATTATTATACCATGCCCCATCAAAACTTCGGAAAACAGTCTTCGAGGGCAGCTGGTTGCACTGCCCTTTATCATCACCTTCTACAAAAAACTAAGCATGCGACAAACCGACCACTAAAAATGTGAAATCGACGTAAATGTTTCCACATTTTCAAAACGAATCTCATCTTTAATGTTCACAAGCATCCTATCCCGCACCAATCTCAAAAACTATCAGCAGAACATGAGAAAGGTCGAGTCTGGACTATTCCAAAATTTTACTGCTTGCAGATTGCTTCTTGTCAGAGATCTGATAAATTGTAAAATAGCAGTATTAACCACAAGTACATCTAAGAATAAGCCAGTGATACCAGGTCGTATTGTTATAATGAAGCCCATTTAAACCGCTTCCTGGATACTATTTGACATCTATAATATAAAATAAAACATAACATGTTTCAATAAGCTCATCTGACAGTTTAAAATAGACTCATTTAACGGCCACTAACATCTCTCTCAAAACCATTCACATTTGTACCGTGCCTTTAAGCACGAGTTACCCCTAGTACAACTAATATAACATAACAAACAAAAAAAAAGGAACAAGGAAATGAATATGAACCATATCTTCATTTCATTCTTGTGAATGAATAATCAACCATGAACTATAAATTCCTTACACATGCCTAGTACCATAAATCTAGCTACTAAGTCACTTGATCCAGTCCTTAGTGAATCATATTTCTTGCCTCTGAATGCCTAATGTTACAAGCAACTAAGTTAAACAGATAAGTATAAAAAATGAACAGCTAAAATAAAATGCTTTTTCCATATCAATGTGGAAGGCAAATCATCCTCTCATGGATCTGCATGTCCAGCAACATCATCATCACTAGATGAAATTCTTCCATCACTGACGTCTTCATCACTGACCTCCTCGTCACTCTCTTCACTCGGGGTGCTTCTAATATTCTCCCTCTTGGCATAACGCTCACAATACTCTGCATCATTGAAAGATAAGTGTACAATGAATTAAACAATGAGAAATTAATTCTCTAAAAAAATCATAGAAAGCCTCACAGTATTAAGGACGATAAAAAGGNGACGTCTTCATCACTGACCTCCTCGTCACTCTCTTCACTCGGGGTGCTTCTAATATTCTCCCTCTTGGCATAACGCTCACAATACTCTGCATCATTGAAAGATAAGTGTACAATGAATTAAACAATGAGAAATGAATTCTCTAAAAAAAATCATAGAAAGCCTCACAGTATTAAGGACGATAAAAAGGCTACAGTATATGAAACAAAAGGAATTTCACCTTTCACTTTTTGTTCATATTGCTTCTGATCCTTCATCATTAGTGATGCTGCATCTCCATTTAATGGATCTGAAGGATTTGGGTAAAGCAAAAGCTGTGGAAGGAAAACCTCAAATACATTCAAAAGATCTGCATCCCAGAATACTCTTGCTCAGATAGTGTAACACCTTTAATGACAAACAAGTACACATACAAGCACAGGATTAATGACATTTACCCCGGCCTTATAGTCCATTTCTTAGGAGCACAGAAAGAACAGATTCCAACACGGGCTAGGCACATNAGGAAAACCTCAAATACATTCAAAAGATCTGCATCCCAGAATACTCTTGCTCAGATAGTGTAACACCTTTAATGACAAACAAGTACACATGCAAGCACAGGATTAATGACATTTACCCCGGCCTTATAGTCCACTTCTTAGGAGCACAGAAAGAACAGATTCCAACAAGGGCTAGGCACTTNTGGAAGGAAAACCTCAAATACATTCAAAAGATCTGCATCCCAGAATACTCTTGCTCAGATAGTGTAACACCTTTAATGACAAACAAGTACACATACAAGCACAGGATTAATGACATTTACCCCGGCCTTATAGTCCATTTCTTAGGAGCACAGAAAGAACAGATTCCAACACGGGCTAGGCACATGACAAAAAATCATTTTAGGAATTCCAATCAAAGTGTGCTAAATATCATTTAATACAAGAGCTTTTCCCTTTCTTTTTTCCACTCATAGTTCTGTCTCCTATCCCCTGGGCTCATCTTATAGTGAGTTTCACACATTGAAATTTTGCTGCGTCACATGTCTCTGTTTGGTCCTTAAATTGAATCCATTGCTCGTAAATACCCAATGCAAGTTGTTCCCATCTGNTCTGTCTCCTATCCCCTGGGCTCATCTTATAGTGAGTTTCACACATTGAAATTTTGATGCGTCACATGTCGCTGTTTGGTCCTTAAATTGAATCCATTGCTCGTAAATACCCAATGCAAGTTGTTCCCATCTGAATATGAAATTTTAATACCACAGACATGCTGATTTGTAAGCCCCAAGAACTATGTCACGTCACGTCAGTTGCCCAAAACACAATCAAATATGCATATATTTCCCATGCATACAAAGTAATGGCAATTTTTACTTTACAATTATCGACTTGCAATTTATGCTACCACTACTACCACCATATACACATTCCTTTCTTGTGTGTCTGAGACTCTGAGTTAAAAAGAGGGTGTGCATTTCTTACACCCTTTCTTCTTAATTGAGAAATTTCATGTACACTTGAAGATATATTAATTTATAAGTTTCCCATCCAAAGACAATAAAGAAAAAAAACCAAAAGAGTTCTGTTGCTAGAACAGTTGTAATTACCAAACATTGGACTCCATGATTGGTTAATGACATCCAAGCATACAGAGCCAGACCTGCAGTTGACCAACAGAGATACAATGAGGATATCACATACATCTTACAAACAAAGACACTTCAGTAAAATGACAACAGAAGGTGCTCCACTCTCCAATACTATCAAACATATACAAGCAAGACAGTTATGCAATTTAACAAAAATGAAAGATAGAAAACGAAAAAAAGAACTCCTGGAACAAACTGCCTAGAGGTCGATCATCATAGCTTGACAGTCCAAGCAAGCTAAGGAGTGTAATGCTTTTTGATATATTAGTGACAAGATTCTGTATCAGTGACTTCCAATCTGATGAAGTAGCTGAGAAATGCTACATCAAAGTATATACGAACTCACAGCTCATCTACATTTGGGTGATATATTTTGTTGAGAAACCCAATAGCAGGAGACTTGTAAGGATAAGCATCCGGCAACTCCACATGAACTTTCCAGACACCACCTTCATATAGGCCTGCAACCAGAGATGAAATCAAGAAGATAAACTTATATCAGAAGCCATATTAAGTTTCTATAAAATAGAGAGATGTTATTACAGACAATCACAATATCCTTTCATCACAATATTCACATAAAGAGGCAAGGCAACATTACTTTCTTTTGGACCATGGAATTCCACATTGAATTCATTAATTCCATCATTAATTGGCTCCACAGCATAGTCACTCATCATCCTACACATGAACACAAAAGGTCAGTCGTAAGAAAGCAGTAAGACGGACAATGATGAAAAACATCACTCAAGACCATTACAATTTCATGACATCCATATCTCTCCTCTTGCTTGGAGAAGACATCTTCTCAATGACCACTCTGAACTATTTACCAACCTGCCAACTAGACACAGAAAATGAAATCAAACATCTAAATAGATAAAGAAGTCGCAAAATTAAGAATGAGCAGTGATCCTAAATGTGAGTCACCCTTGGAAACCAACTTGCAAGGGAAGGATACCTAAGGAATCATATACATAGTCAAGCTCATATTCGGCCGATGTGGGACACTTGAGATCAATTACGGATAGGACATCAAATAAATCACATGTGAACAGACACATTGTTTTGTTAAAATCAAAAGATGATAAATATTGAAACCCTCAAAGCCCCACTAAGAAGCATGAACTTTGTATAGCCAAGTCCTCAACCTTCAGAATGGGAGTCATCTAATCTGTAAAGATTTAGCTTATAACCATCCATCATCACCCATTATGTCATGTGACTTAAATATGTTGTTTCCCAAGCTTTAAGCAAAATGTTAGAAATGAAAGAGGTGGAGAAGACACACACACACACATACCATTTTTCACAATTAAACAAAACAATACACATTCCTTGTCGGGTATTTTATATGTGTGGGAATCCCACAGCGAATAGAAAAAAGAAGTAGAAGTGTCTTAATATATTATGAATGGACCCAATATCTATAGGCTTAAGTTTTTAAGTGGGTATAGGTTCCAGACATGCATATTGAGCCTTGGATCACTAGATTCCCTATCTTCTAACAATTGGTATTAGAGCCGATTGTTGACGATCTAGGGTGAACTCTGGAAGAAGTGTAGCATACTAAGAAAAGAGTTGGACTCTTGGTATTGAAGTCATGGAAATGCAACTCCGAAAAAAAAAAAAAAAAAGAGTAGGGCACTGCCAGGCCCAAGTGTTCTTGGTGGAGTGGTAAAAAACTTGGTTCTTGAAAAAACGGGTTCTTATAAACAGTGGTTGGATGCAGTGCATGTCGAAAGCAGTGGATGAGACTCAAAGGGGAGCTAAGCCGATGTAGTTCACACATGAGTGGAGATTGTTGGGCTCACATTGCATAGAAAAAAAAGTAAAAATGTTCTAATATACAATGGATGAGCCCATTACTTATAGGCTTAATAGGCGGTTATGGATTCCAAAATGCATATTGGACCTTAGATTATCCCCCCCCCCCACCAAAAAAAAAATTCTTCCAACATTCTGCTACAAAAACATAGCACTACACTGACCTAAACCAATTCAGGTACTCACTGTGCATGTTAAAACATGATTACAAAAGCATGAATGAGAGTTCCGTTATGATTTAAAATAACAATTTATCAACATGGTTATTGTGATTAAAAAAGTTATAGCATATGCAGGGTAGTTAGTTAAGTGACTCTTCCCAAATGATGCTCTTGTAGTGAAGACCTACCACAAATAGATTGTCACATTGACTGTCATGTTTTTGTTTTTTATTTTTTTCATTATTCTCCGGCAGGGTTGTGAGGTTGGGGGGGAAGGACCTAGGAATTATATAGCAAAAGGTGGAGCCAAGCTGAATTCGGCAAAGCAATAAGTCCATTAATGCCATCAACGACAAGCACCATCATATTTTTGTACTTCGTCAGTTAATTTGAATAGCTATTCACTCAATGAGATTTTGTTCAACAGTAAATAAACATATTCACATTTTAAAAGGGTTCAATTAGTTCTTGATTAGTCATTTCTAACNATCTAAGAATAAGCCAGTGATACCAGGTCGTATTGTTATAATGAAGCCCATTTAAACCGCTTCCTGGATACTATTTGACATCTATAATATAAAATAAAACATAACATGTTTCAATAAGCTCATCTGACAGTTTAAAATAGACTCATTTAACGGCCACTAACATCTCTCTCAAAACCATTCACATTTGTACCGTGCCTTTAAGCACGAGTTACCCCTAGTACAACTAATATAACATAACAAACAAAAAAAAAGGAACAAGGAAATGAATATGAACCATATCTTCATTTCATTCTTGTGAATGAATAATCAACCATGAACTATAAATTCCTTACACATGCCTAGTACCATAAATCTAGCTACTAAGTCACTTGATCCAGTCCTTAGTGAATCATATTTCTTGCCTCTGAATGCCTAATGTTACAAGCAACTAAGTTAAACAGATAAGTATAAAAAATGAACAGCTAAAATAAAATGCTTTTTCCATATCAATGTGGAAGGCAAATCATCCTCTCATGGATCTGCATGTCCAGCAACATCATCATCACTAGATGAAATTCTTCCATCACTGACGTCTTCATCACTGACCTCCTCGTCACTCTCTTCACTCGGGGTGCTTCTAATATTCTCCCTCTTGGCATAACGCTCACAATACTCTGCATCATTGAAAGATAAGTGTACAATGAATTAAACAATGAGAAATGAATTCTCTAAAAAAAATCATAGAAAGCCTCACAGTATTAAGGACGATAAAAAAGCTACAGTATATGAAACAAAAGGAATTTCACCTTTCACTTTTTGTTCATATTGCTTCTGATCCTTCATCATTAGTGATGCTGCATCTCCATTTAATGGATCTGAAGGATTTGGGTAAAGCAAAAGCTGTGGAAGGAAAACCTCAAATACATTCAAAAGATCTGCATCCCAGAATACTCTTGCTCAGATAGTGTAACACCTTTAATGACAAACAAGTACACATGCAAGCACAGGATTAATGACATTTACCCCGGCCTTATAGTCCACTTCTTAGGAGCACAGAAAGAACAGATTCCAACAAGGGCTAGGCACTTGACAAAAAATCATTTTAGGAATTCCAATCAAAGTGTGCTAAATATCATTTAATACAAGAGCTTTTCCCTTTCTTTTTTCCACTCATAGTTCTGTCTCCTATCCCCTGGGCTCATCTTATAGTGAGTTTCACACATTGAAATTTTGCTGCGTCACATGTCTCTGTTTGGTCCTTAAATTGAATCCATTGCTCGTAAATACCCAATGCAAGTTGTTCCCATCTGAATATGAAATTTTAATACCACAGACATGCTGATTTGTAAGCCCCAAGAACTATGTCACGTCACGTCAGTTGCCCAAAACACAATCAAATATGCATATATTTCCCATGCATACAAAGTAATGGCAATTTTTACTTTACAATTATCGACTTGCAATTTATGCTACCACTACTACCACCATATACACATTCCTTTCTTGTGTGTCTGAGACTCTGAGTTAAAAAGAGGGTGTGCATTTCTTACACCCTTTCTTCTTAATTGAGAAATTTCATGTACACTTGAAGATATATTAATTTATAAGTTTCCCATCCAAAGACAATAAAGAAAAAAAACCAAAAGAGTTCTGTTGCTAGAACAGTTGTAATTACCAAACATTGGACTCCATGATTGGTTAATGACATCCAAGCATACAGAGCCAGACCTGCAGTTGACCAACAGAGATACAATGAGGATATCACATACATCTTACAAACAAAGACACTTCAGTAAAATGACAACAGAAGGTGCTCCACTCTCCAATACTATCAAACATATACAAGCAAGACAGTTATGCAATTTAACAAAAATGAAAGATAGAAAACGAAAAAAAGAACTCCTGGAACAAACTGCCTAGAGGTCGATCATCATAGCTTGACAGTCCAAGCAAGCTAAGGAGTGTAATGCTTTTTGATATATTAGTGACAAGATTCTGTATCAGTGACTTCCAATCTGATGAAGTAGCTGAGAAATGCTACATCAAAGTATATACGAACTCACAGCTCATCTACATTTGGGTGATATATTTTGTTGAGAAACCCAATAGCAGGAGACTTGTAAGGATAAGCATCCGGCAACTCCACATGAACTTTCCAGACACCACCTTCATATAGGCCTGCAACCAGAGATGAAATCAAGAAGATAAACTTATATCAGAAGCCATATTAAGTTTCTATAAAATAGAGAGATGTTATTACAGACAATCACAATATCCTTTCATCACAATATTCACATAAAGAGGCAAGGCAACATTACTTTCTTTTGGACCATGGAATTCCACATTGAATTCGTTAATTCCATCATTAATTGGCTCCACAGCATAGTCACTCATCATCCTACACATGAACATAAAAGGTCAGTCGTAAGAAAGCAGTAAGACAGACAATGATGAAAAACATCACTCAAGACCATTACAATTTCATGACATCCATATCTCTNTTCAGTTAATTTGAATAGCTATTCACTCAATGAGATTTTGTTCAACAGTATATAAACATATTCACATTTTAAAAGGGTTCAATTAGTTCTTGATTAGTCATTTCTAACTTCACCACTTAGTTTTATCAGGTATTAAACTTTATGGAATCTTTTGCCAGAAACTATATATTTCAGGTAAGACTATTTTTCTCTACTTCAACTACTTAACCTTAACAGGTTACTTGATACCCTGTCCCAACCTTTTTAAAACAAGNGCCGATGTGGGACACTTGAGATCAATTACGGATAGGACATCAAATAAATCACATGTGAACAGACACATTGTTTTGTTAAAATCAAAAGATGATAAATATTGAAACCCTCAAAGCCCCACTAAGNAGTCCCAACCTTTTTAAAACAAGGTTAGGGGCAAAGTTTTAACAAATTCTCACAGGAGTGTGATACAGTCACTTAAGACTGAAATTGAATAACCTTGTGTCCAAGTCAATAAAGAATTCATCTCCACAAACCCATATTGCTGGTTGANTGTCCCAACCTTTTTAAAACAAGGTTAGGGGCAAAGTTTTAACAACTTCTCACAGGAGTGTGATACAGTCACTTAAGACTGAAATTGAAGAACCTTGTGTCCAAGTCAATAAAGAATTCATCTCCACAAACCCATATTGCTGGTTGAATCTCTCATAAAAGTCGCTAAATCGTTCCAAATCTTATAGGGAAACAAAATCCAGGAAAACTTCAATCAAGTCCAATGTGAAAGATCATCATCCAGAGTCAGTCCGGTAAGAAGGCAGTCCATGACGCTTGGGAGACCAGATTTATACCAGTACACTAGGCAATGGCCCTTTGTAATGAAATCAATTCAATTCCAATCAAACGAGAGAGATACCCTTCTAAAAACACAGATGTTGCAGATTATGACAGAATGCACATATCATGTCCAGACATGATGCATAAACCAGAATTCCAATGCAATTGCATAACAATCAACAAAACAACCACCACCAGTAGAATCAAAGATTTAGCTACATTGCAATATATATTGCATATTATTGCCCCAAACTACATATTATTGTCCCGAAAAACACTCGATTAAAAAGAAAATTGTAAGAACAATCTGCTATATCAATAAAACACTAACCGAAAAAAATTAGAAACGGTTTATGATCAGTAGATGTAGATCGGGGGTACGTCGTAAGTTTACCGTGGAGAATTATTGCTATGAATCCAGAGAAGTTTGATGTGAATGAAGAAACCAGAGAACAAATATAAGAGCAAAAAGGACGAAGAATATTTAGAAGGAGATGGCGAGAGGGTGTACAGGAAGGTGTCGACATTTTTGTTCAGGGCCACGTGCAGAGAGAGAGAGAGAGACCAACGTTCATACGTGGCTTCACGTAACCCTTGTTTTGTGAGTTGTGAGCAAAGACAAAGGTGATGGAAGCGAGGCGGGTTTGGCTCTTCGCCACAAGCACGAGGTAGGAGTTCAAAGTCCCAAAAAACCCCCCCGTCCCTACGCACTCGCCTGCTTTGATCAGAAAAATAATTTGATATTTTATCTACTTTATTGGATTGATTTAAATTAATATCTGTGAATAAATAATAAATGTTATTTAATATTAAGATTCACTACTAATTTCTTATAAATTTGATTTAAAATGTTAGTACTTAATTTACATCCAAACAACGTGAAAAAAAAAATAAAAATACAGCCTGCTTTCTTTAAAAATATGGAGTTTCACCTTCAATTGTTATTAACTAACGACATGTTATAGATATGCAATACTTATTAACGATTCATGCAATATACAAGATTTATGCTCATATCTCACTTCCATTCTTCCGCCCTCGGCTAGGTTTTATTCTTAAATTACTGGAAGAGGAAAGATGAAAAATTTATATAATAAAGTAGCTTACAATTCAAATTTTAAAAGATAAACAAAATAATTTTTGCTATTCGCGGTTAAGATCACTTTAAATTTTAATTTAAAGTTAATTTAACGGCTAATATTAGCACCCTAAATTTAATAGGAAAAATAAGCCTATAAGGGTATGTTTGAAGTGACTTTTTAAAAGTAATTCTATAAATTATTTATTATAAATACTTTAAAAAAAATTATGTTTGAAATCGGCTCGTCACTACCACTACCTCTACCACCACTACCGTCACCGTCACCGCCACTGCCACCACCACCACCACCACCGCTGCCACCCCCCATCGCCAACCCCACCACCACCACCGTCGTCGCCACTATTACCACCACCATCGTTGTCGCCGTCGCCACTACCACCACTGTCTCCTACCACCACTTCTCACCTCTACTATAAATCGATACTTAAATTCTTTTATCTCTTCTCTATGTTTGTGATTTTAATTTTGGATATGAATACAAATATATTCATTGTTTACCATTTTTTTATTATTCTGTGCCTTCAGACACAGACAATAACTAGTATATATATAAAGTGGTGTTGAGGAAAAATTATGCCCATCGTGATAATGTTTTTAGATCATGACAGTGACGAATGATTGAGATAGTCACACATTCTAGAAAAATGGAGATAAAATTCAATTTGATTAGGATAATTAATACTATCCTCCTAATCTATATAATAAAGTAGAACGAAGTTTGAATCCAAAAGACAAAGAGAGGTCCAGATCGTTTTGAGACAAAACATAAACATATTCAACGGACAATGTAATCTTAACATAAAAGACGGTTCAGATCATCTCATAAATACTGATTCGACGGTCATAATGGGACTTAACTCTCTTATCTCTCATATAACTCTCTCTCTTATCTCTTAGAAGTTTTAAATACACTATCTCATCTCCTCTCTCTCTCTCTCTCTCTCTCTTTATATATATATATATATATATATATATAAGATAGCTCACAAGTTGAATTTTATTCCCTACACATTTTCTTCCTAAAAATATCACATCACTCATTTCTATCACACGCCCAATTATTTTAATATTTGATTAATTTATAGTTTAATATAATTTTTATTTAAAACACTATCTATATACGATAATATATATATGTTGAGAAAATTTTATCAGATTACATATTTTAATAAAATAATTGATAGAGATAGATTTTAAGTGATATAATCAAAGAAATGAAGGAAAAAATTATGATCTAACGATCAATAATGAGTACTATATTTTTCTTTTCCATCCAACACAGCCTCTGTCTCATGCCTCTCCCTCTCATTTCTGCCTCTATCTCTCTCATGCCTCTCTCTCTCACTTCTGTTTCCCTCTCCCAATCTATCACGACTCTATCTTCCCCATCTCTCTTATCCTCCCCTCTTCTCTTAGTCTATCCGTTAAACTGTATACGCCCACCCTAGCATCTGTCTCTCACCCTCTCACTCTCTCTCTACCAGCGACATCCCACCTTCACCACCACTGTCTGCCATTTCCACCAGGTTTCGCGCTCTCACTCTCCTTGTTTTTGTTTTTATCTCCCCAACCTATAAATAACCCCCTCCCTGAAAAACCCTAACTTAGAAACCCCCAGTCTCACTTCCTTTTTTGTTTATATCTCTCTCTTCTTTGACCCCTTTGCTAACCAAGGGTAAGGGACCCTTCTTTCTGTCTTTTTTTCTCTCTATCTTTCTCCCTCCTCTCTTTCCCCTTCTGTATCACTCGTATGCCTACACACCCACATATTCCCTTTGCACACGCACCACACAAATGCAAATCTTAGTCACGTACACAGTCTGAATGAATTTCTTGCAATTCAGGAATCAATTTTGACTGAGATTTTTTTATAATTTTTTCTTGTAATTTAGAAATCAAATTTCAGTTTATATGTTAATTAGAAATTTTATTTTTGCAGTTAGTCACAGGATTTTTTTTTTATGAAATATCCGATTTCAACTTCAACATCAACATCGACTGTGGAATCAATTAAAAATCATTGCTATGCCATAAACCTACATCATTTAGAGTGATAGGTCTCTATTGGTTGCCGAAAGGTATGTATTTAAACTTCTTTAGAATTAAGGTTTGATCTTTGGATAGATTTCTTGCAATTTAGGAATCAATTTCAGTTGAAATTTTTTTCTAATTTTTTCTTGCAATTTAGAAATCAAATTTCAATTTGTATGTCAATAAGAATTTTTATTTTCGCAGTTAGTCGCAAGAATTTTTTTTTTTTTTTTATGAAAGACCCGATTTCAACTTTGACATCGACTGCAGAATCAAGGAAAAATCTTTACTATGCCGTAACCTGTCATCGTTTAGAGTGATGGGTCTCTATTGGTTGCCAAAAGGTATATATTTAAACTTCTTTAGCATTAGGGTTTGATGTTTAATTAGTTTTAAACTTATTTAACTGGGATTTATGTTACGTATTTCATTCTATGTACTGGTGCCTTTTGTTTTTCACATCTTAGGGTTACAAGTTTTCCAAAAATCATTCCAAATTTTTCAAAAAAAAAAAATGTTGGGGACTTATTTAATTTTATCATTGTCATAATACAAGTCATTCTTACCATTTTTTGCAAATAGTTGTTTCAATAAGTTTATAGCCTATTCAATTTATGGATGGAGTGTTTGTCGGTTTTGAAATGATTGTTTTGACATGATTTTTTAGATGAATATAGCTGATGTGGTTGAAGTCGTGGATGATATTATCTAAACCAATACGCTGGAAGGTATTGTTCTTTTTTCCTATTGTAAATATTCAACAATGCATTTGTTATGTATCAATGGAAAGATTTGATTTTGGTGGACGTGCATTTTTTATTGCTTAGGGGTTCTATTTGGGTGATATTTTGGCAGTGTTCTACAAGTTGGATTTGTCTCTTTTATAAGATAAGATTGTATTGGTTTGAAAATCACAATTGAAGTTATGTTTGCAACTAATTTTTCGAAATAGCCACGGATTATAATATGCAATAACTATAAGCACTAGGATGAGTTAAAATATCAAATTTTGATAGCTCAAAAGGTCTACTTGCATAGTTGATTATGAATGAA